TAGGTTTAACGGGAGAAATAGACCATATCTTAAACATTTTCTCCAGCAGGCTTATTTAGTGTTTATTTATTTGTTTTAGAGACTCTTGGAAATCCCTGTCCCGTGCGTCATGACATCATGATGTTGGTCACTTATGTTGTAGAAGAACAGACATGCTCTTTGCCTCAGTCAGCATTTCTGTAGTGTGAGCAACATATTATGGCCTTGTGTGAATGGTATACCAGACAGCAAGACAGTTCCCAGCATGGCCTCCTGTGAAGTTCCCAAGCAACAACACATGATAGACAGATGACCTTTACTTAGTGTTGGGTCTAGCAAGACACAAGGGCAGTTCCCTTTCATCCACTGTGCCACAGAATAAATTGAAAACAAATATCACCTTGGTCTTGTGCTTGGTGAGCGCGGGCTACTGTACATCACCGGATGGTGAAATTGGCCACGAAACTGAGACTTCTGGTATTAACAGATGGCTGCCTCACTCTGCCACTAGTACTCCATGTTGCTGTGCTTTACACATGACCCAGTATTTTTCTTGCCAAAACCAACACTTTTCTTCCTCATGAGAGGACATGTCTGTCAGAAAAGATTTATGTCTCACATGAGTAAGTTAGGAGGTTTGTGGGGGCTGTTTTCGAGAGATAGTATATCTGTAGTGGTTCCTGGAGAGATAAGATACTTCCTGTTAGATGTCCGGAAAGCCTAGCATGACTTGATAGATGTCGTAACAGCCAACATCTGAATCATCACCGGTGACAGCATTGCAAAGACGATCAGTAACGCATGCATTTTGATGTATTTTGCTATAATTAGCTGTGGTCATGTTGTTAAAGTTTACTGTATGGACACACACACCAAACAGTTGACCCCTGATCAAATTCGAAATGTGCCCTTCCCGTATGTGAGTGTGTGAGAGCCTGTCTCACTTTGGATCCATGTTTATTCTATTATGAATGTGGGAAAGGAAGAAGCATTGCAAATGGTTTCGATGTGATTCAAGGGTTCTGAGAATCAAATGTCAATCCGCAACAACAGGAGAGGAAATCACTGGCTTGGTAATACATGCCATTCCAATACAGTTATACATAGCTCCATTGGACCATGTCTAAAGGGAATTTCTGTGTTTCAATGCAACCGTTAACTGATACTGATTTAGAAGAATTCAAAATGTCCCTGTTCAGCGTCATTGATTGTTTTCGATTCATAAAGCTCTGTCTAATAGCAGAACATGTAAAGGCTCTTCTCTTAGAAATAAAGACAGCATGGCTCAGAGGACAGCACAGCAAACATGATGTCATCTGCTCTTCAGTGACATGATGTCAGCGACAGCATTCAGAAGAATACTGAGATTAGGATTATTCTCCTTGGCTCTGAACATCTGCTGTGAACAAACAGTGCAAACCATCGGGAGTTTAAATCCCTGCTAAATAGTGGGCCGTTATTCAGAAATGAGTAGCTTAACCACATGATGGCCGGGCATTCATCTGTAACTGGGTAATGGTGACCCTTTCACAAATACAGGAACTATTAGAACTGTAATTATGGACCTACAAAACACTAATTATTTCTACTAAGACTACAAGATGAATCGGTCCTCCTCTAAAAATGACTGAGTCCTTTTATTAAACGAGGGTGAGCTGAATAAATTAACTATTCCAGTTATTGTGCATCAGAGGCAGGAGCAGCTGGGAAATGATTGTCAGTCATGCAGTATGCTAAGTATGTTCATAACCACAGCAGGTGTGAACCAGCTCTGACTGGCTTCTGCTCACACACACACACACACACACACACACACACACACACACCCACACCCACACACACACACACACACACACACACACACATACCATGTATACATCACTTCAGGGGACATTACATTGACGTACATGCATTTCCTGGAGACTTATCCTAACCTTAACCATAACCCTTACCCTAACCCTAACCCTAATCCTAACCAAGTCTTCACCCTAAAACTAATGATTCCCCTCATGGGGACCTCCAATTTGTCCCCATAAGGGAGGCGAGTCCCCACACGTGACTGTGTAAACAGATTTAGGTCCCCACAAGTATAGTAATGCTAGGCCACACACACACACACACACACACACACACACACACACACACACACACACACACACACACCCTGAGCTAAAATCCTGTCAGTCTCAAGCACATCTGCTTCCCCAGAACTACTGCTGAGTAAGCACTGCGTTAGCCTCCGCTTCCCTTCATGGGTGATCATAACAGGACAACAATACTTCACATATGACACAAAACATACTGTGACAGTAAAAAAAAAAGCTTGTGAATCACAGGAACACGCAGGCATCCTTTTTTCCTATATTTGGACACTAGGATTTTTTTTCTCATCAGGGACTTTTCTAACTTTAAAGTTATCTTCACAATAATTTCCCTGATTTCTACTTACATGAGCAGGCATGATTTCCCTTCTGATTGCCTTTCGGTAACTTAGTAACGGGGAAAACAAAAGCTGTTAAGACTGCACAAGTTGCTTTTGAAGTTAGCAGCAGGACACAAAATGATTTATAATTACAGAATACGACTAAAAAGCTATGCTTAACTCTCAGGTGAGACACTCAGTTGGTGCCAAAAAGGCAGCTGCAAGGGAATCCCACACATTAAAAACCTCATCAGAGGTGGAAGAATTACTCAGATCTTGTACTAAAAGTAGAAGTACCAGAGTGTACACTGTTACGTTAAGTAAAAGTCCTGCAATCAACATTTTACTCAAGTAAAAGCACACATGTATTACAAATCTACATTTTCTTAAAGTACCAAAAGTAAAAGTATCATGCTGAATGGGGCCATTTCAGGATAATATAAGATTGTTTTGATTAGAATAATAATAATGCATTAAAGTATTTTCAAAGCTGGTAAAGTTGGATTATGTTTTAATTACTTTGTATGCTGCAGTAAACTTGTGAATGTTACTCCAGGTTTAAATAAAGACTTATTTACGGATTGATTATATTTCATATCATCAATCCCAATCTGCAAAATAACTAAATGTATTAAATAAATGTATGTGGAGTAAAAGTACACGATTTATATCTGAATTGTAGTGGAGTAGAAGTATAAAGTAGCAAAAAAATAAAAAGTCCCTCAAAATTGTACTCAAGCACAGTACTTGCATACATGTACTTAGTTACTTTACACCTCCGCTGCTTATTATATATGAATACATGTGTTGGAAGACTCCACGCAACAGCCATAAAAACTAGTACAAAAAGGCGTGTACATATAAATCGTTTCCAATTACGGACGATGTTAGTTAGATGCCGTTACAGACGAGTGCTCGGTGATCAATCGTTCTCACTCCCATCTTCCCCGGGCAGTGAGCTCTGATCGCTCATGCACTGCAGCCTCCCATTGGCTCTGCCTTATCGTGGGTGTCTTTTCAGACCTAATCATAGGTTTGCCCAGCAGGTATGTGGCTAGCAGGGTTCAGTCATGCTGGAAAACCCATCACTCAACATCTGTTATTACCACTTCTGTGAGGTGTTGGTAGGCAAGTCTCTTCATGTGCTGTATTGCTGCAGTGAAAGTCTGAGATTTCCGTTTGAGCCTGCTACAACATTCTCAGTCATCTCAGCCCCCAAAGCTGAAACTAAAAGTGTTTGAGTGAAGTATTTAAGTCATTAAATCCCACAGAGTAACATTTCCCTCGCTTAGCAAGCTTGGCTGCAGCTCATGAAATCATTTCTTCAGGGAAGGGAATTCACTGCATCATTTTCCTGTCATCTGGAGAAGAACATATGAATACATCTCCCCGACAAGGTAGACACAATACCAAACCAATCGGGATTTCACGGAGCTGGAACAAAGCATCAATCTGACGTAACACTCAGAAGGGGAACATAAACTGTATTTCTTCCAGCAACTTTGGAAACATAGTGTAATCATCATCATAAGGCAAAGTAATTACAACATATTTCTGCTACTGACAAAACCCACCTTAACCTTGGCCTTAACCACTAACCTTATTCCCTTTATAAATTGCAGCTCCGGTGTAAAGATCATTGATGAAATGTAACTTAGTACATGTAATCAAGTACTGAGCTTGAGTACAACATTTAGGTACTTGTATTTCACTTATGTTTTTGCTACTTTGTACTTTTATTCCACTACATGTAGGCAAATGTTGTATTTGTTTCCTTCACTACATTTATTTGTTATCTTGAATTACTAGCTACTTTGTATATTAAGAATACAAAATATAAATCAACTAATACATATAATAGGTATATTGTTATAGGTTTAGCTTACCAGCAGTCAATACAATAATCTGAATGAACCAAGTGCAATATTGAATTGAAGACCTAATTTATTGTAAATAAAATAACAATTTCATAGGATTATAACATGTGTCATACTGCATAACAATTACTTTCACTTTTGTCCTTTAAGTACATTTTGGTGCTTTTAATGTTGTACTCTCCCATGAGTAAGATGTTGAATGCAGGGCTTTTACTTATAACCGAGTATTTTTACACCGTAGTACAGCTACTTAGTACTTCTTCCACCACTGTTTAATATATAAGGGCATATATTTTAATCATATTTAAGACTGAAACATATGTTTAACTAAGGCATACATGCTTCAAATGGCTATCGCACAACCCTGTTATTAAATTGGATCACTCCTCAAGTTGCAGAGGAGAGCTGTCGGAAGTATCTGTGGTCGAGCACACGCTGTGTCATCTCCCTCTTCCTATAATTGCTGTTTGACTGACTGGCAGTGGGTGTGTCTGCATTGACAGATCTGGCCCTGTCACTTGCCTTTGTGTCAGAAAGCCTGCAGGAGACAGGAAGCCATGCTTCAGAGTGGACAGAAAATGGACATCTGACCACACCTAGAGCCTTGGGGGCTGGACATAACTCTCTGACTTCTTAGTGCACTCCTTACTCATGCACACAAACCCTTTTTCTTTTGTTTGCTAGTAGCCACTCTTAGTAAGAAAAAAGACAAACAGAAAGCATTCAAGTAAAAATATACAATATATTTGTTGTATAAACTTGTACAGAATGTCTTGGACATATCGCTTTACATATACTATACATAAGGGTCAAAATAGGGTCACTTTCGCATCCTTCATGATTTTAAGAAAATGTCCCCCATAGCAACCACATTTTATGTACATCTTTACAAACATACCAAACGAAACAGCCCTTGGATGCACTTTAAGAGGCCATGACGAGATACAGATGACTTGTATAAAAATCCCTGAAAAATGTCTCTTTGTGAGGTAAGAACACATTTGTCAAACTCTTTTCCTTTCATTCCCTCTCATACATCAAACTCACTCATTTGTTCTGCGACGAGACTGGCAATAGAGAACAGCTAATTACACATTATGTTTCCCTTAACATTATTGTGCCACAGGAGGAGTAGCTGCAGACGGAAGACTGTCGGAGGAGGAAATAAGGTGAACATCCATTTCTTTATACACTGATTACTTACACATGTGTTCCTTTCAAATCGGGGCATACACTAAACCTCGACCTGGTAACCGACATATAATTCAATTTCATGTTAAGTTATGGTTAGGCCTCAACAACAACAGGAAATATGACCTAAAGTTACAGAACAAAGTAGAACATAATCACATGCAAATAATACAGCTATAAGCAATAGAATGTACAGGGGCGTTTTTGGTAAACAATATGTATGAACAGAAAGGGGCCACTTGATGTTAAAGAATAACTCTTTAACATCAAGGTGTTCAACAGAAGTTAGTATTCTGATTCAAAGCAAAATAATCTAATTCTTTCTGTGGTAACTCCATTCTGCTGAAAGTGAGCTGTGAAGAAAAACTGGACAATTATTCAAGGCCGGATCACTGTAATAGCTTATTTCCCTCAGCTAGTGTACCATCAAAATATCTCGGATTGGTCCCCAGAAAACATTCTGATTGGCCGAATACTCCTACTAGACCATCAAGGCAATAATCAAAACTATAAACTGAAAGGAATACATTAACATCCGCTTTACAGCTGGTGAATAACAAACAACAATCCTAGATTTATTAGAAAAGTAATGAAATGTCCTGTTATTATGGTCTTACATGACCATTGATTAATGCCATGTATGGTGGGTAGCAAAAGTCTTCTTTTGTTAGAAATTAAGGCAGGCTGGATCTAATGGATCACGTTCTCTGTTACTTTAAGAGATCAATGTTGTACTTTTGGTGCAGAAATAGTGTAACTGACCTACTGCTTGTGTCAGCTTTGTATCTGAGAGGCTCAGGAGAACCTTAAGAGACACGACAGGAAATGACTGTCCAAAGGCTGTCCAATCCATCCTCATGTTGACTCCAGTGTATCGAGCTGGAAGACGTTGTGATTGGTTGGCGTGGTGAAGAAGAGCTGCTCCTCGCTGGTGGAGCGGTTATCACACGGACTGTGCAGCCCCAGCGTCCTCTCAAAGTCCAGGAGCTGACCCATGAAGTTGAAGTTTGGCGAAATGTTGGACTTCTTCCTCTTGACAAAGTCATAAGCATCGTTGAGAGAGAGGTTGAGCCTCTGCATCAGGTAGGCCACGGTCACTGTGACTGAGCGACTGATGCCGGCCAGACAGTGGACCAGGATGCCACACTGCTGAGAGCGAGCCTCGTCTGTGAGAGAAGGAGAAATCTACGGTCAGCAGCGGTAGGTTGTTGTCCTAAACAATATTTCCCTGTATTATAATGTTTAAGAGTTTCTGTAGATAAGGTATCACGGTGATTCTGACTCGTGCATTCACACCTAATAGTCCGCTTCTCTGGTGCGCACCAGACCACAGTTTGTTACATTGTTTCATTTTTCAGAAGGTTCGGTTTGCGTTCACACGGGCAAAACTCAAACGGACTATAAACTTTAAACACAAGTCATGTGCACGGAAATGCTGTTCAACCATTGGTCAGACGTTAAGGGGGTAAAAACGCAAATCCCGGCAATTTCTACCGGAGCCTCCGCCATGGAGCATCGGCACTTTCGGCAGGTTATTCTCATGCTGATGTTAATCTGGAGATCAACAGACACTAGCGGCCCACGCATATGATTATATCATCAGACAACGTCCGATAAAAAAACATTATAACATAATGAGAGACGTTCTGCAGTAAGGAGGGGCGTTTCACCGACGACAGGTGTTCTTACTTTTATGTAGCTCACAGAGAATTTTTACTTTACACGACACTGTTCAACACTTCATTCTGCTTCACTCTTTAACTAAACCACCGCGGATGTCTTGAAAGAGTCTTTCGCTAAAGATTTTGAAGACATCCGTGTTCTTGTGACACGTAAATACTACGCTTCCTATGTTTTGGTGCGGACTGCGTTCACACCAGCAATGAACCGCTCCAGAGTTCGCAAGCAAGCGCTCCGAGACCACCTATTTTAGCGGACCAGAGTCCGGTTGTTTAGTTCACTTCAGAGGTCTCGGATTGTGTTCACACCGAACCAAATGAACCGCACCAAGCGGCTAAACGCACCAGGGTTCGATTCAACCGGACTATACAACAAGGCAGGTGTGAACGCACCCTACAAGGCAGGTGTAAAAGCACCCTTAGGTGATATAGGAAATCATGTTGATGTTACAATAATGGCACCAATGTACATCATGCACCAGCAAGGGGCAGTAAGTGGAAATACTTTCACCAGCTGACATGTAAGCTCCCTCAGAGTGATGATGATGTATGATGTAGTACGCGCACATGTAATGAGACTTTAAATTAAATTCTATTAAAATTGACTTCATCTATTTGTCAGAATCTGCCATATCCGATAAATCTGTTTCTGATTGTTGCATCCCTAAATACTAACATTACCAAATAACTGTCAACTAAACGAAACCAGACTCGACTTGTGACCCTGCAAAAAAACAAAGCTCCATGGAGTGGAAACAACATTTCCTTCCTCCTTGTACCTCTAAAAGCTTTTGAAAGTTGTACATGATACATAGTGTTGCAACCACCAAACAAACAAGTGAACAACTGTGGTTTCAGGTGCAGTGGTGGCAAAAGACAACACATTAAAAATGAAACTGAAACATAATTTGTGGTGACACCCAAAACAAGATGATACGTTTACTTTCAAGTTAATGTGTTGTAGCTATGTATCAAATATATTCAATGATATTGTTGTACATCAGCTGGTAACACATTACACAAGTGGTAAGTTAGGGAACATTTATCATGTCTTTCAGCGTTAACCACAATATGCTTATTAGAAAAAATAATATAAAAACTCCCACTTGTTCCAAAAAAAACACATTCCACAGCAATGGTGTCAATAATGATTCAGAAGTATTGATTATCATATTGTTATTAAACAAAATTATCAAAAAAGAATTAACTTAATAGTAGTATATATATATATAGTACAGTATATACAGTATGACACTCACACAAACAAGAACACATGTATTTTCTTCAAAATGTACGTGTGTCTGTGAGTATTAAACTTAACAAAGCTATTGTTCTCTACTCACCTATAAATGATATGGCCTCTGGGAAGAACTGGGACAGGTTCTGACTCCAGTGATCCGAGATGGGGATCTGTTTGTACCTGAAGTGGCCTTCATGCTCAAACATGTTGGGGAGATTGGGTGTAACGTTCAGGATGTACTTGATGTTGTACTGGCCCAGCACGTCTAGATTGGTGGAGTCTTTGGCGCAGCCCAGGTAAAGGTAGGGAAGGATCTGGACGGGGAAGGCGGGCTGATTGCTGGGGATGGGGCTCTCCTCAGACTCTGTGGCACTGCTCGGCTCTCGGTCAGATTCCCCATCGGAACAATCAGAGCTGATTCTGAGGTTTCCAAAGCCCAGGACAGAGAGCGGAGGAGAGGAGCTGGGACAGGAGCTGTCGAGGAGGGTCTCACAGTGCTCTGGGTACTCTGTGTGGAACTTTACAAATCCACCTGGACAAGAGCCAAAACACAAGTTAATAAAGTCACACCAATAGGATATATTTGTGTATATAATAGATACATAAATGCTTCAACTTCTATCAACTGTTTATTTCAACCGTGTTTTTAATGACAAAAAGACTGTTTGGTATTGAAGCAGAGCTGTAAATAAGTAACTCATGTTCCCCCCAAAAAGAACCATTCATGAAATGCATGCCTGTTCCTGCTAGAGCAAAACATGGCGCAGCCATTTTGGAATTTTAATTGAGAATCTCAGTGACACACCAACTTTTAAACAGCTTAAAAACCGCACAGCCAACCCACAGGTGAATTAACGATAGCAATTGTTACTTTAAAACATAACAATGATCAAGATACACGTTACTGTCTCGTCTTACGATTCAAATGTCCGTATTTCAAAGTTTTATTCTCGTAAAGAAACTTCTGCTCGGTTTATTAGCCGTTAATACAGGTTATAAAAGTTGCCATGTCATGCTTATATTTCGTAAAACTAGCTTTACAGTTTTGGCAGTACAACATTTGAGCAGTTCGAGTACAGTGACGTTTTCTAATGTTATAAACAGACTGACTGTAACCAGCGTTAATGTACCTATATGTAGCATTAATGTGTGATGTCATTGTTGTTAGGGTTACTTCGACAGTGTAACTATTTACCTTGAAGGTAAAACGCTTTGCAGCCGTCTTCCCATAGTTTCTGAAGAAGTAGACCTAGAACTGAGGCTCCGCTGTCCTGCCAGTCCACGGTGCTCTCATCGTACAGGACCACCGTGTCCGTCTTGCACCGCCTTATGAACTTCTCTTTATCCTCATGGTTGGGGATGATAGTCCGGATAGGTATGTTGCCCTTTTTGAACCTCCGGAGCATCAGCCCCGGTATGGCCAGGTTTATGGCGGTCTCTATGTGGGATGATTCATAAAGCTCATGTGAACGGCAGTCCAGCAGGAGCAGAGAAGTGCCTCCGGACTCTAACTCGAGTTGCAGCCATTCCACGCTTTTACTCGGCGTCACATTAGACATATCGGACTCAATATCATACTACATGCAAGCACAAACACTTACTACATGGTCCACCAGTTGACGATAAACTACATTTCAGCCAAAAAAAATAAGCGTTAAATGTTGCTCCGCCAGTGCATGGCGCTTCAGCGAAGAGATTTCCCCTTTTTTCTTTTCTCTATTTCCATCAGCCAGTCACTCTGACCTGCCCCGGGGATGAAGGAGACCTGCTTATACTTTAATTTAGGATACACAAGTTTAAACGTGAATGATTTATAGCCAATATCTCTTCATCAACTCTTCAACTACTCCACACCGTACCAGGGTCCTCCATGCACATTCTCGTCTTACCATTCCGATGCATGGGAGGCTTTTTTTTAGTTGACAGTAGAGCAACTCAAGAGGGAGGAGTTTATTTCTTATGATTTAAAGTCATAGCAGAAATATCACAAAGTTTAAAGGAGGTCTCAATGGAATTATTTTGCAAATTACCAGTTGGTCAATCACCTTCATCATATTTTTAAACCATTGTTTGTGATATTATAGCAAGTTTATAATAACTTTTAAAGGGGGTTGTTATCACTAACAACTAGTAATTATGATCCCAGTATTTTTCCTTGTTGGGATTACATTTGTTAATTTAATAGCTTTCAAATGTCCTTGTAGTGACCTTGTGTAACTTTATTACTTATTAATAGTTGTATTTACTGTACATATATGGGCTCAAGGTTTGCCTGAGTGATTGTAACAGCTACCTTTCTTAATATTTGCATAGTTGCAGCTTGCATGATACTTATATTTTGAGAATAGACTCATACGGGGAAATTGCATAATTGCATATATTATGCATTATTGCTGAATAATTTACCTAACCTAAATGTTCTAATGATGTCATTTAAAAACAGATATCTCATTATATACTGTATATTATAATGCTATACTGTTTTATCTTGCACCATTATCAATTTACCTATATTGTGTTAATGAATCTAATAATACTAGTTATTTTATTTTTGTATGATTTACTTATTATTACAGAACTTTAAGTTTACTACAGTTTATTACACAGGTTTGCAAGAACAATACAGTATTTACAATGAAATCAGACCCTCCCTTTAGTACACAACAAATGTGTTGAGTCCATTTATGTTCTCCTTTGATGGACAAATTCAACTGTCTCACGCTGCTGAATACTTTAAATTAGTTGTGCATCTCTATACAGGTGAACAGCTGAACATGTTATCCTATTTCATCATGATAATGTTTGTTTCCGTATTAGAAACACGTTTGTAAATGCTCTCTTTTTTGATTTTCATGTATTTACAAGGCGAAGCACTCAAGGAACCCTGCTATATGCCACATGAAATTTGCAAGCATGTTGTTGTACATTATGGTCTTCCTTATAATGCAGGCACAACATTCCCATGGTTTGCTACTGATTGGTATAATAATACTGCAAGAGAATGGTGAATGGGGAGGAATAAGGGAGGGAGGGAGAAATGTGAACTGGGAATCCAGCCATGCAGCTCATCTGCCTGCACACGTGAGTGGGGGAGACACAGATGTGCAGAGCAGTGAGATTAACACATAATGAGGAATAGAGCTAAACCTGTACACACACACACACACACACACACACACACACACACACACACACACACACACACACACACACACACACACACACACACAAAACACACACAAATGTTCTCAACCATGGCCTGATCTCACACAACAACAGGCAACATATCATCGCCCCGCTACGCCACAGCAACATTTCAGCACCTGCCTCCAACATCCAACCACCAAATACTTTAAAGGGTGTGAAAACCAACACACACACACACACACACACACACACACACACACACACACACACACACACACACACACACACACACACACACACACACACACACACACACACACACACACACACACTTCCTGTGGTCCCTCATACCCACATGATTGTCTCCTGGAAGTGTGTAGAGGTGTTGGACCTGCCCTCAGAATTTTCGCAATGGGCAAAAGAGCAGCCTGTATCTAGAAAAGACATTGATGGATGGAGGTAATAATGTGTGACAATGATGTCAAACACACCTTGTTTTTTATTTAAATCAAATAATGAAATGGTGCAGTTGAATGTGTGTCAAGATTTGAAATCCCAATCAACAACATCAACACAGCACATAACTGGAGTATTGATTCATGTTGTGAGTGGGCTTTAGCTATGGTGGTCACCTGACAGCTCCCAACAACACTATGGTTACATAATGTGCTCCAAATGTGAGCTCATGGTAATTCACTCACAGGAAAGAGAGGATGGTCTTTGATTAACAGAATGCCAGGTTTCTGCATGTCAAGTGCTGCTTTGAGGGATTTCACACATACACAACAGACACATAAACACACCCCTGTCACGTGCAGATGTACAGTGGGAAGCATTCAGAGATGAGGCAGATGGGAGGAGAGCTTCCTCTTCATTGATGTTTCCCTGCATGTGGGAGTAAAGGGCTTTTTATTGAACTCGTTTTATCTAAGCATGATAATCATAGGCCGGGATAGAAAATGTCTCACATCAATAGAAATGTTCATTCAATCTTGTAGGGAATAACCAGGCTGTTGCATTGATGACGGATAAAACAGACGATTAATTTAATTGAATATGTAATGGTCTGTAATGTCTGATGTTGTATCCATGGGACACTGACACATGCAAAGGCACATGAAGTGTATATTCTGCAATGTATTACAACCGATTTGATCTCCCATGCTATCTAGTTAGGAAACACAATATCCTGTTCTGTTTTGATACCATCTAGTGGTTCATGAGGAAAGCTGCTGCACCAGCTATGAGTCATCCGCAGAGGAAGGAGGTGCCTGGCTCACAGCCTCACAGCCTCACAGCTCACAACAGGAGACCCAGTGTGCCTCCATGTGGGGAAAACAAGGAATGCAATTACATGCATTTCATGAATGAATGAACAAATTACCACAAATCTACCCTTAAGCTGATTATACATGAACACCATTCATGCATCTCCGTCTTTTTTCTAAACTACAAAGTTAAAAAAGAAAGATTCTGCAATTACGTAATGTATTTTATGTTGTTACTGTTAGAACTACCTATTACTTGTGTAGCATTAGTAACTAACATGAGGAAGCCACATGCTATATGCATGATCAATTATCTGCAGAAGTAAGCATTGCCACATTTCATAATACGTTATAAGTACTGATATGAGATAACCCTTCTGCCAAAAGCCCTACATCTAATGAAATAGTGTACATATACATTACATGTATGTGCAGCAAATAACCTGGGTGACATGATACATATAAATATATCTGTGACACATGGTTGCACCATATGATTTTAGATATGTTTCCCTGTATAGCTGGGTACGAGTGAGTGTGAGATATTTTGTGCGCTCTGCTATCTCATTCACTGTATACTTGAAGATTATTGTAGCATGAGATGTCAAGAAAGATTATTCAAATTAGATGTTTGAAATGTGCATCCCTTTTTAAAACAAAATATGCACATTTGCAACACATCAGAAAGACAACCCACCCAGAAATGCAACATAAAATAATAATATAATAAAACAATACATGATTTTGTTTGCTGATTTTAGCGTTTAGTTGTAATTGTAGTAATAATTGAATTGAAACTATAGTTGCACTGAAACCTAGTGCTATATAAAAAGCCATTATGTTTGTTATTAGAGTGATTAACTTACATTTGTCATGATCCTGGTGTTATGTTTTCTTGTTTTAACCTTATAACCTTATACATCTTCACGGTCACTTAGGTCTGCTGATAGATTCCTCCTTGTGGAACGTTGAAACAGCGGGGAGACAGGGCCTTTTCTGTCTGCTCCCAGGCTGTGGACCGATTTGCCCCCCCCTGATCAGACTTGCTCCCACTTTGCCTGTTTTTAAATCTTGTTTAAAGCCTACTTGTTCTCCCGTGCTTTTGAAGACCACGTATAACACTTACAGTATCAGTCTGCACTTTTAAATTGAGTTTTTATTTTATTGTGTCTTATATTGTTTTTACATCGTGTATGAGAGTTTTTCAGTCTATGGCTATAAGTATGGTTTTATTGTCTCGTGTTTTTACATTTGTTTTTTGTCCTATCAGTTTTGTCTAAATGTATTTATGCTGCTTTTTATATATATGTATTTATGTACAGCACTTTTGGTCAACTCTTGTTGTTTTTAAATGTGCTATATACAGTATATTAAGTTGGATTGGATTGTTTTCTTTTGTAAAGTATTTTCTCCTTGTGTCTTCCTGTCTTTTGTTTTCCCGCCTGTGTGATTGTATGATTGTGTTCACCTGCTGCCCCTGTGTTTCACCTGCCCTCTCCAGCTGTGTCTTATATCTGTGGTTAGTCTTGTATATATGCCTGTCTTCCCCAGTGTTCTCTCTGTTTGTTGTCTATGTTCCTGCCAGTGTCCCAGAGTTCCTGCCTGTGTTCCCGCTCTTGTCCCTCATGTCCTCCGGTCTGTACTTGTTTAAGTTTTCTTTGTTTTTGTTGTTTTGTTTGACCTAGTTCTGGTCCCCGTTATTTTGTATCAGCTTTATTTAATAAAGCTCACTTTTTGTCTACACTTTTATAGATGCCTCCTGTGTTTTAATGCATGTTGGTCCAACTTGTGCTAAACCTGTAACAACATGATGTCAAATCTGCATGCAACCATATTTAAAAGTATGTTTTAAGTTAGCACACATACGTACACTTAACCCACACATTTATTATGAAGGTGACACAGAACATTCTTATATAGTAATATGTTTTATATAAATAGAATAAATATCTTGAATTCAGGAAGGTGGTGCTTGTTGGGATCAAGTGTTTATATGTGATTTCAGGCTACTGCTGATATCATGTGACTGAGGCCAGTGAAGTAGGACTTCTCCCTCTCACTCATCAGCTCCAAGTGAAGAGGCTGCTGGCAGAAGTCACACTCTGCTGAGGAGTGCGGCCTCAGCTCCATCCCCACCTCCTTCCACGTCTTCACCAGCCGGTCTGTGGAGACACAACAGAGAACAAAAAGCAACAATCTTTGCCAAACATTGTAGACATAAGATATACCTAACATTTAAGTTTCAAATTAGAGTTTAAATTGTTTTCTAATGTAGCTATTGGACTTCAGAATTGCAATATTCCCTAAAATATATATATTTATATACTTTTTTCATTTGACTAAAGAATTGTACTTTCACCCGAAATGTAATATACTCAGGAGTGCAAAGCCCAACACAAAATACTTCAGATATTTTATGATAATAGGATATGCGTCATAATTTAAAGTGGGCATACCAACAAAGAAGAACATCATCTGGGGAGTGTGGTAAGGTGTGGGTGCGATGCGCAGCAGCTCCTCTCCTTTGGCCACAGTGGGGTAGTTGATTGCTTGGACGTAGATGTTGTAACGTAACATCATGATGTCACATATCTCAGTGTTCTTCTCTGCATTTGCCACCTGCCAAACATTATAGTTCAGCGTCACATTTCTGCATCAGCACCAGTTTATCGGATCAATTATTAGTTTCCTTACCCGAACAGGAATAATGTGGCTCGGGCAGTGGACCACTGGGAGGCCCGAGTCCATCAGCATCTGTCGGAGCAGCTTGACGCACCTCTGATGTTTCCTTCTGAGCACCTGGCCTTCCTCACTTTTCAGGACCTTGATGGACTCCTTTGCCCCCGCTAGCACCATGGGGGGCAGGGAGGTGGTGAAGATGAAGCCTGCCGCGTAGGAGCGCACCGTGTCCACCAGAGCGCTGGTGCTGGCGATGTAGCCGCCCACGCAGCCAAATGCCTTTCCTGGAAACAAAACCATAAACAAGTCAGAGGCACATATGGAACTGGTCAGAGTGTTAGGATATGTTTCCCCCCATTATTGAGGGTTCAACTTACCAAGGGTACCAGAGATGATGTCCATCTTGTGCATGGCTCTGTCTCTGTCCCCGATCCCTCCTCCTCTGGGTCCATATAGGCCCACAGCATGGACTTCATCCACAAAAGTTATGGCACCAAACTTGTGGGCAATGTCACACATCTCCTCAAGAGGGCACACAGCCCCTGTAGAAAGAACAATTCTGCTTATTCCTATTCTTAATTTTAAGTCACATTATTTTGGGTTTGTATATTAAAGTAAGAAGTTACAATTTCCTGGCACTGACATGGAGGGATTGTCACTTACCATCCATTGAATGCACCGTCTCAAAGGCAACAATTTTAGGAGTGGAGGGGTCCGACTTCTCAAGCAGCTCTCGCAGGTGGCTGACGTCATTGTGACGGAAAATGAACTTCTTCACTCCGCTGTTTCTTATACCCTGGATCATTGAGGCATGGTTGCCAGCGTCAGAGTAAATTTCACAACCTGAAGGAGTAAACACATTTAAAAGAAGTTACATTTTCTACTATGGATTTCAGTAAATCAGCAAAAACATGGAACTTAAGGTCACATGTTGTAATATTTACCTACTTAATTTAATTTACCTGGAAGCATTTTTGCCAGAGTAAACAACGTGGAGTCATTGGCTACAAAGCAGGAAGTGAACAGCAGTGCGGCATCCTTCTTGTGCAGGTCAGCGAGCTCCTGTTCCAGTTCCACGTGAAATTTGCTCGTCCCTGAAATATTTCGTGTGCCTCCAGCACCGGCACCGTGCTTTCTTACAGTCTCCCTTTAAGAAAAAAAAGAGTTGGTTTATTATCTTAAAACATTTTATTCTTGTTTTTTTTGTCAGTCTGATCAAAAATAATCATCATCTTCATATGATTTCTGATCAATCGGGATTACGGGGGAACCCTAATCAGTGCGCCAACTCACATAATTGTCTGGGTGACTTTGGGGTGACGACTCATGCCAAGGTAGTCGTTGCTGCACCACACAGACACCTCTCTGCGGGCATAAACTGACTCTGAGAAGTCGTCTGCCATGGGGAATGAGGAGGCCAGCCTGTTCACGATCTTAAAAACTCTGTACGTGTGATCCTTCTTTTGGCCTTCAATCTTCTCTTCAAAATACTTGTCATACTGGAAGGTGATGGCTAATGGACGATACATGGAAAAAGGATTTTAGATGGTTCAACAAAAATCTATTTAAGTATTTTTGTTCATTTTGAACATTTCTTTCTTACCCTCGGGCAGATTGTCCTTGAGCAGGTGAGACACTTTGGAAGATATAGGTTTAAAAAACGTTTTTGGTGTCTTTGTGTTGTTTATGTCTGCCTCGATAAGTTCCACAACTGATAAATCCACATCTTTTTTCCCTGTTTAAGAAATATGTTATCTTAATAAATGCATGACATCAACTTGCTATGAACATGTCACCAGAGTGTCAAGGCTACAAGCGATGACCTTTTTACAAATGACAAGACCGACTGTATGTGTATTCAACTAAAGGTGTGGCTGTGTGTTAGCTTACCTGTGCGAACAGAATGCATTTCCTGGACGTCCTCTTGCAGCTCCATGCGGGCCTCTCTTACTACCCTGTTGTTTTTCTGCCCCATTTCTGCAGCCAGGAAGGGGCATTTGGAGCCTGCAGTTTGACCAGCAGGTGGCGTAAAGTAACCTGGGGGCATCTTAACTTCCTGCTTCTGATCTAGGGACAGCAACACAGTTCATAATCATAAGCTGTCTACAGAATTACTATTGTTAGCATTCAAATATTTTGAATTGTGAAAGAGGTAATCATACATAATAGGATGCATTACAACTGACCTTCATTTGTTGGTGTGCCTTTGGACGAAGAAGCTGAAGAGGACAGTGCTCGGGCCAGAGGTCTGGAGGCCAGGTCCATCATCACGGGGCATCTTTGGGCATATCTCCCCAGCGACACCTTCCCAGCCAGATGCAGAACACCGGGAACTACAGTGAGGAAAGGGCACCGGCGGATTGCTGCCTCCATGTGAGATACCCTTGAACTAAATTAAAAGGAGAAAAGACAACCCATTACATACACAACACAAAGATCAGATGCATTAAAATGCAACCTTAAATAAAAGGTGGATACCATAGGCAGCGTAATGAAGAAATAATCCAATTTGTCGAAGTACAATTTTAACGGGTAACATTTGAGATTTTTTTTACAAAAATGATCCCCTAAAAATCTTGCTCTCCGTTGTTTCCTTTAGTGCCACTCTTTTACCTGAACACATCCCAGTCCACCTTGATGTAACACAAAAACCTCTTGCGAAACATGACGAAAAACTCCACACTGACCAGCGACACCCAAGAGAAAATTATGTTTAAAACCAGAGAGAACACTTTCATTCCTGCTTCCCTGTAGTCAGCTGTCCTTGACAAGTCTGAGAGGGAAGGCCTCTCAAGGACCTGTCTTGAAACGAAGGAGAAAAAGAGCCATCTGGCTGCTGGTGAGATGGAACATATGAAGGCTATAGGCCAGGGGTGGGGAACCTGTTTCCATTTTGGGGGGGGGTGGGGTGCGCCATAGTTTATGGACGCTGTACGCAATATAGGCGTAGTTCTGTTAGTATAAGATAATAAGATGTACTTTGTTGATCCAAAATCGGGAAATTGTGTTATGAAATTAAAAAATATATATATTTTTTTATTTCTAACTTTTGTTTTCTTTTTCGGCGCCCCCCATTGATTGATGCTCCCTTAGCATTCGCCTATACTGCATATGCCAAGGGCCGGCCCTGTAATTGACTGTATGATCAGTATGACAGATGAACAGATCGCCACTGGGTTTAGAACTAAAGACACAGCCACGCAAAAACTGCGGCACCCTTCTGGGTACTGCAATTTTTGGAAGTGGCGGAGCGGCGTCAGACGAGACATATACCACGTGATGCCACGTTTGGCTCGTGTTGTGTCAAGAACCCTGACCTTGGCCAGGAAAAACAGGTACTCGCTTGTTTAATTTGTTTGTGGTCTAGATTTCTTTAATTTTTTTCTTTTTGCGTGTGTATACGCCCTGATATAGGCTATATGAACTGTAACAGACTAACCATCACACATATTACTGGCTCTCATAAGATCCACCAAGTGGAAAGTTATGTAAAGTCCATACTGTATAGTCTCTCCTTTGCATTGTCGATGTTACCGATTCATAACTGCTTTATTTCTAGAAGTTAACTTTTTCTTGAGGAAGCTGACCTTGAATCAGAATTACAATTTAAAATGGCCACTGTTGTACAACGGATTAACTACACTTACACAACTTTCTTTTATCATGTTTTACATTTAACCAATCGATAACAATTTCCCCAGAATCGCAACCTAAAAAACCCCCAATGAAAACAGTATTGACAGAGATCTAAATCTGCAAAAGTGGTAAACACTATATATTCCACAGCATCCAGTTGCTTTTTTTTGTTATTACTAGCATATTTGAGAAAAGAGTGTTGCTTCCAAAAATAAATCTCATAAAATATTCACACTGGAACTGAACAGGTACGTTTTGAAAATCAGTTTTGATCAATAAAAGCCAATTAAGTCAAGGTTTTAGTGGTGGAAGACAAAAACAGTTACTATCTTATTTTGAAGGAGCTAGACATGAGACATGAGCCATGTAAACCATCCCGGCTATAAACCCTCATGCAGTTCTTACAGTAACCCACCTGGTTTGTGGTTTAAATACTGCGCAGTCTTATGCTCCTCGGCAGTTTTCCAGTCGAATCTTTTTGGGAAGAAACTACAGCTGGAGAAATTACATTTCGGTCACCGCAATGACGTAGCGGTAGTATGTTGCACAATAAAGGAGCCCCGCCCCCCAGCAGTCACATAATCCTGCCAAAGATCGTCTATTGAAAACAGGAAGCCTCGTCTGTTCCTCTGAACCTTTATATATACAGTCTATGCTCTGAACACAGAAACTAGTTATACACAGTTTATACTTTAAATGTAAAATAACGCTTATTTTTTATTGGAATTCGATCATGTGTTAAAATTACTAGATTGTTAACCAATGCTAAATAAGATCTTAGTGGTATGAAGCATGTAAATCAATAAGTAATTTTACCCGAGTATTTTTCATGTAAAGTTACGGGTTGAAAACAGTATTTCCGGTCTCGATGTTTTCATAATAAAACCAATGATCAAATGAACATTTAATATTCATTACTAAAGGTACAGCCGAATCATCATAGCTTACAAAACCTATTGCCGCCGCAGATGGACCAAAAAAGGAAGCGTTTGAAGAAAAAAAAGGGGCGGGTCCGCTCAGTGAAACGATAACAACGAAACATGGAGGAACAGGTGTGTGTGTGTGTGTGGCCACACCGCTCTTTAGCCTTTCTAATGATTCTGAAGGTAAACACAGTGAAGGCGGTGCGTGAAAGGCACTGCACGCTCCTCTTCTCAGAGGCTGAGTTAACCCTCCTGGTGCTGCAGAGATTTCATGAAGTGAAGGAGGTTTTCCTTCTATAAAACAGCTGTGGGCAGCAGATACTGTGAGTGTCACAGACATTAATACATATATCAAGGCAGACTGGTGCACACACTCTCCTGTGTTGCCAATCCGGTGGTTAAACAAATATAGCTCTAAATCCCTGGCCGAAATGTCCTTAAAATGAAGTCCGAGTTCGACATTTTAATTAATTAATTACCTTTCCAACTCCTCATGCAGTTGACTGTTACATGTCAATACAGGTTCATGGTACAATGCATAAGCTTCAAATCGAGAGACTGAAACTGTATTTTCCTTTACCGTTCTGTTTTAATTTCACAATAAAGTTAATAGTCATATTATGTTTGATATTATGATGTTTTATTAACTACACCATTGGTTTTTTAACCCGCGCCGCCTAGTGGTTAAAGCACGTTATTTAATTTTGTTGTTGAATACGTTTTATTTGATGAAAACATTTAAATATTAAGAGTAGCCTACATATAAAATTGAAAATATCAAGAAGATACTGTAGTGATCTCTACAATAAAACAGTTTAGTACAGGACGTCCAAAGATATTAACAGGAGGATGTGCAAAACAGACAAACTAATAAGGCTTTATTTAAACATTAAAGAATACTTTAAGTTAAGGTCTTCTTTTGAATAAGATAAACACGTTGGGGTTATCCACAGATACATATGAAGTCTGACAAAGTACTTAACGTCCAATATATTAAATAGTTTATTTTGGCACTTGACAATCACCTTCCCTGAATTTGACTCAGGTGTAACTAAAGTCTGATTTAAGGGTTGTTTATATTTCACATCATTAATCAGCTTCTCCGTCCCGCGGGCCCACCACCTACGGGAAACATCGATGGGGTCGGGTGCGCTGCCAGAAGGGTGGCAGTGAAAGCGGAGGGTCTCGACGGACCAGACCCGGGCGACAGAAGCTGGCTTTGGGGACGTGGAACGTCACCTCTCTGGGGGGGAAGGAGCCGGAGCTTGTGCGGGAGGTGGAGCGTTACCAGTTGGATCTGGTTGGGCTCACCTCTACGCACAGCGTCGGCTCTGGAACCTTACTTCTGGATAGGGGTTGGACTCTATTCTTCTCCGGAGTTGCTCAAGGTGTGAGGCGCCGGGCGGGTGTGGGGATACTCACAAGTCCCCGGTTAGGTGCTTCGTTGTTGGAGTTTACCCCAGTGGACGAGAGGGTCGCCTCCCTACGCCTGCGGGTTATGGGGGGGAAAACTCTGACTGTTGTGTGTGCTTATGCACCCAACAGCAGTTCAGAGTATACGGCCTTCTTGGAGACCCTGGAAAGAGTCCTGTATGGGGCTCCTGAAGGGGACTCTTTAATCTTGCTGGGAGACTTCAACGCACATGTGGGCAATGATGGAGACACTTGGAGGGGCGTGATTGGGAGGAACGGCCCCCCTGATCTGAACCGGAGTGGTGCTTTGTTACTGGACTTCTGTGCTAGTCATGGATTGGCCATAACAAACACCATGTTCGAACATAAGGATGCTCATAAGTGTACGTGGTACCAGAGCACCCTAGGCAGAAGGTCCATGATCGATTTCGTTATCGTATCATCGGACCTGAGGCCGTATGTTTTGGACACTCGGGTAAAGAGAGGGGCGGAGTTGTCAACTGATCACCATCTGGTGGTGAGTTGAGTCGAGTGGCGGGGGAAGCCTCTGGATAGACCTGGTAAGCCCAAACGTGTAGTTCGGGTGAACTGGGAACGTCTGGAGGAGGCCCAAGTTCAGGAGGCCTTCAACTCACACCTCCGGCGGAGCTTTTCGGGCATTCCTGTGGAGGTTGGGGACATTGAACCAGAGTGGTCGGTGTTCAAAGCCTCTATTGCCGAAGCCGCGGCGGGGAGCTGTGGTTTCAAGGTCCTAGGTGCCTCAAGGGGCGGTAACCCTCGAACCTCCTGGTGGACACCGGTGGTCAGGGAAGCCGTCCGACTGAAGAAGGAGGCCTTCAGGGATTTGTTATCCCGGGGGACTCCCGAGGCAGTTGCAAGGTACCGACAGGCCCAAAGGGCAGCAGCCTCATCCGTGGCCGAGGCAAAGCAGCGGGTGTGGGAGAAGTTCGGAGAAGACATGGAGAAGGACTTTCGGGCGGCACCAAAGTTGTTCTGGAAAACTGTCCGACACCTCAGGAGGGGGAAGCAGGGAACCATCCAAGCTGTGTACAGTAAGGATGGGACGTTGTTGACCTTAACTGATGGAGTGTTAGGGCGTTGGAAGGAACACTTTGAGGAACTCCTGAACCCGACAACTCCGCCCTCTATGTTAGAGGCAGAGCTGGAGTATGACGGGGGATCAACACCAATCTCCCGGGGGGAGGTCACTGAGGTCGTCAAACAACTCCACAGTGGCAAAGCCCCGGGGGTGGATGAGATCCGCCCGGAAATGCTGAAGGCTCTGGGTGTTGAGGGACTGTCATGGTTGACACGTCTCATCAACGTTGCGTGGAAGTCGGAAACAGTACCGAAGGAGTGGCAGACCGGGGTGGTGGTTCCCCTTTTTAAAAAGGGGGATCAGAGGGTGTGTGCCAATTACAGAGGCATCACACTACTCAGCCTCCCCGGGAAAGTTTACTCTAAGGTACTCGAAAGGAGGGTCAGGCCGATTGTCGAACCTCAGATTGAGGAGGAACAATGCGGATTCCGTCCTGGTCGTGGAACGACGGATCAGCTTTTTACTCTCGCAAGGATCCTGGAGGGGGCCTGGGAGTACGCTTATCCGGTCTACATGTGTTTTGTAGACTTGGAGAAGGCGTATGACCGAGTTCCCAGGGAGTTACTGTGGGAGGTGCTGCGGGAGTATGGGGTGAGGGGGTCTCTACTCAGGGCCATCCAATCTCTGTACTCCCAAAGCGAGAGCTGTGTCCGGGTCCTCGGCAGTAAGTCGGACACATTTCCGGTGAGGGTTGGCCTCCGCGCCCGGGCTGCGCTTTGTCACCAATCCTGTTTGTAATATACATGGATCGGATTTCGAGGCGTAGTCGTGGGGGAGGGGGTCTGCAGTTCGGTGGACTAAGGATTGCACCACTGCTTTTTGCAGATGATGTGGTTCTAATGGCTTCATCGGTCTACGACCTTCAGCACTCACTGGATCGGTTCGCAACCGAGTGTGAAGCGGCTGGGATGAGGATCAGCACCTCCAAATCTGAGGCCATGGTTCTCAGCAGGAAACCGATGGACTGTCCACTTCAAGTAGGGAATGAGTCCTTACCCCAAGTGAAGGAGTTCAAGTATCTCGGGGTCTTGTTCTCGAGTGAGGGAACAATGGAGCGTGAGATGGGCCGGAGAATCGGAGCAGCGGGAGCGGTACTGCAGTCGCTTTACCGCACCGTTGTGACGAAAAGGGAGCTGAGCCAGAAGGCAAAGCTCTCTGTCTACCGGGCCATTTTCGTTCCTACCCTCACCTATGGTCATGAAGGATGGGTCATGACCGAAAGAACGAGATCGCGGATCCAAGCGGCCGAGATGGGTTTTCTCCGCAGGGTGGCTGGTGTCTCCCTTAGGGATAAGGTGAGAAGTTCGGTCATCAGGGAGGGACTCGGAGTTGAGCCGCTCCTCCTTCGCGTCGAAAGGAGCCAGTTGAGGTGGTTCGGGCACCTAGTTAGGATGCCACCTGGGCGCCTCCCTAGGGAGGTGTTCCAGGCACGTCCAGCTGGGAAGAGACCAAGGGGTAGACCTAGGACCAGGTGGAGGGATTATATCTCTTCGCTGGCCTGGGAGCGCCTTGGGATCCCCCAGTCAGAGCTGGTTGATGTCGCCAGGGAAAAGAAAGTTTGGGGCTCTCTGCTGGAACTGCTACCCCCGCGACCCGACCACGGATAAGCGGGAGAAGATGGATGGATGGATGGATGGATCATTAATCAGAATCTGCAAAGTAACTAACATACATGTAGTGGAGTAAAAATACCAGGTTAACCTCTGAATTGTAGTGGAGTAGAACAAAGTAGTATGCTGCTGTAACAAAAACATTTCCCAACTTGGGATCAATAAAGTATATCTTATCTTATCTTAAGATGATCGATGGCTACTGCCATATCTGCAAAATTTGCCTTTGAACCTTGAGCATGTTTCAGGCTTATTAATTAACAACAGGAGAGGTCACAGGCATAAGACCAGCTGTTAAATAAAGCTCTTCTGACCTTAGGTGTCATGTGGGTATATTATTTCACCCATTTATTAATTATATGTTTTACATTAACACCACTGTGTTTCGTATCCCCTAAACCTCCAGGGTGTACAGTTTAATACTGGCAACTTCTAATTGTGGGAAATACGAAAACGTCTTATAAAGAGACGTGCCATATAATGTTGCGAAACACACAATAGCCAGCATGTGTAGT